GCAAATCAGAAAATCTACGAAAATCGGGCAGCGTAACGGCAGTTGGTCAAATTTACACAAAAATCCTGCAAAAAGGCACAATTTCCAAATCTCACCAAATTACAGTAGAATATCTATAACATCAATACAAGACTATTATCCTATAGAAACCAAATCAAATCAAGTCCTGATATTTTTCTATTCGATTAAAATCGCGTAGAATCAATTCCGACCGATAAAATCATCGTAGAAAATAGTCAAATCGTGTACAATATTCATATCTATAACATACTAAAAGTTGTGCGGTGAAAGTCGTGTCAATACAAAATCAGGTCAAAAGTTCGACTACAAAAACACAAAACAGTGCACAACTCGATCAAAATACAAAATCTTCGAAAACAGAAATAGGGTTCGGAGTCCTTACAGCGAGACAAACAAATCTTCTAACAGCGTCGTCGGACGAAAAGCGCTCCGTGGCCTCCAAAACCAAGCTTCCTTCTTCTCTTCCTTCTCTTTCTCTCTCTTGCCTTTTCTCTCTCCAAAATGAATCCAAAATATCTCAAATCCGATATTTATTAACACTGATCGTCCTGGACGATCCAAATTTCGTCCTGGTACGATGGGTTCTCTGGACAAATTTCGTACAGACGAAATCCAAATTCGTCCCGGGCGACTTGCTCTCTGGACAGATTTCGTACAGACGGATCGTCCCGACTGCTCCAGGTTCGTACAGACGAAAATGGCAGATTTCTTCACAAATTTCTTCAGTTCGTCCAGTACTAAATCCAGTTCGTACGGACGAACTGCACTAAAAAAATCAGCTTTTTGAAGGGTTTTACAACCACACCGCCGAAGACTACTTAGAGTGTATTCTGGACACTTTAGTGGAAGCAATCGACGAACATTTTGAAGGCGTCGAGTGGAGGATCTCCACCGCTCCTTGACGAGAGGTTCTCTTTTCCCCTTTCAATATATTTCTTAAATCTAACTTTATCTTGTGCTTGATTGTAGTCACGAAGGAAGATTCTCCCCGCTTCTGCTAAGCTTAGTAAACGTAGGGTTTTGAGTGTGTCTTTGTGCTTATTAATTTTTATTGTTAGATTAGGGATTGTATTGACGCTACTATCACGGCATAAAGTAATTTACTTATTTATTTTGAAAGTTTTCCAACTCTCTAGTTCTGTGATTTTGCCTAAGCGGGTGTGACCCCTTCCTTGTTTTATTCGTTGTTCTAAAATGCTAATGGTTTCATCATCACTATTCTAATCAAGAGTTGTGCAAATCTTTACAAACATTGCATTCGTACTTAGTCCTGCATAAGAAATCTTTAAAACCTCATAGGAGGTGAACATAAAAGGAAACCAGCAATCGTCTCACAAACCCTTGAAAATGAACAAAGTATCAATGAAGAAATCCTAGCAATCATTTGAGGAGAAAATAAAAGAAATTTAGAATGATACACACCAAAAAGCTGAGGATTCAAATGGTTTGAATCTCTAGGTTATGATAAAAATTTGAAAAATGTTTTCTTAAGATTCTTGTAATCCAACACTCTAGAAGGTAACCTATTTTTAAGGTGTGTGGTTGTTAGAACCACTTCCCTTTAATAATATTTAAGAATATTATTTTGAAAGATTAATTATTGTGTAGTATTTATACAAGATGACTCATGAATAATGCTTTACCTTTGGAATAATCCTTTGCAGTAGTGGACCTAAAGTGTTTGATTTTACTCAAAATTGGTTTTGGCCTAAGTTATGAAAATTAGGAAAATAAACACATCAGATTTATTTTTTAGTTAGAAAACCATAGAGACTTTGGCGCAATCATTAATGAAAGACACAAATCGACATTCTCCAAATGATGGATGTCCGAGTTATGATGATTAAGTTATATTGTCTTTATTGGATGAATAACACTTATAAATAAATGACAAGGATAATTTGCTTTTATTATATTTGATTGTTTTTTATCTTGAGATACTAAAATTCATTTTGTTTCTCAGCAGATCTTATCATATTTCTCGAATTGTGCTCCTAAAATACACAATGAATAGGATAAAAGATGGTATTACAATATAAATATTGTGTAAGTTTTAATATTGAAACAATGTCTAGTTGATTGATTTGGAATATATGGAACAACATTTAGCACCGTTAAGGAACAAATCTAAACATCTACTAGAATAATTTTCCTGTTGCTCAGGCATATACAATTTTATAGTTCAAATTTTTGTGAAGAGTGAATCATATAATCAGTAGGCGTCGAATCCATGATCCAAGAGCTAAAAAAGGTTCCATCTGAGACTTTTAATCCAATGGAGATATGAAACTTCATTCGAATGTGCCAATGAATTAGTAATTGAAGGTTTCTCAATATCTTTCAAAAGAGTTATCAACTGATCAATCTCGTAATTGTGGAGCCTCCATAGTTATGACAATTTTCTTTTGTCTACACAAGACTGCAATTGGTGATAGAAGGTTGCAGTTGGAATTAAGGAACGTCAGGTGCTGGTGTAGACAGAGTGATGAATGATATGTTAGCTGAAATGGAAAATGAGAGAATACCAACAATGATGAAGGCTATGATTAGAGATGATGCTCACAACAACAATGTCTGCGAATAGAGGATTGTTATTGAGGGAGAGACCATGACTGTGACAAAGAATTGCGGTACATACCCTAGGAAAGTGAAGCGAGACGAAACCCACTGATAGCAATAATAGATTGATGATAAGATAGGGATCTTGCTCATTCTCTTGCAATTGACTACAATAAGCCGTGTAAGTCTGAGGGGCATGGTTGAAGATAGCGATTGACAATGAGTTTGAAGTCCACAATGTGATGACAGGCGTGGAGAAGGAAGCACAACTGTCGACATCTTAGAGGGGATCAACAACGGTCAGCTTCATAAAGGAGAGCAGCATCGGTTGAGATCACAAAGGACATTTTATAAGGGGATCAACAAATGCTATCAGTCTCCATTGAGTATTTTTATTTTGAATGATTGCCAAATTTGTGACAATGAACATTTTTTATCCTGATTTATTAATTATTTGGTTGAATTACAGAAGTTAAAAATCGGCCATCCCATCCCATTTCATCATGGTTTTGCTAGAATGAAAGATCGTAGATACAATGCATATTTTCCTCTGTTCATTTAGCAGGTAAGTTTGCACTTTGCTAATTTGACATGACTATAATTTGGCGAGTAGACACAAAATGTACTTTTATGGTTCTATTGATACACATTAAGATATTTTCTTCCGTAAGTCTTGCTATATCAATCAATTTCTTACTTGACGTTAAGTTTTTCTTAAGTTACAGCCAGTATTTTTTATTTATTTTTGTTTTATTTCCTGTATAATTACCTTTTTACCTTGGGAGTCATTTCTACTTATGGGTCCGATGCTAAATGGCTTTCTACTTTATTTCATCAGACTTGTTTTTATGTGACGTTGGCGTTTTCCTGCAGGTTGAGACTACTGCACAGTTTGGTGTGGTTTTTCTCCTCTTTGCTTTAGGCCTTGAGTTTTCCGTGGATAAGGTATTTTATATTCAGATAAAAGAGGAAACAGATTTTTTACTCATTCTTCTTTTTGCATTTAGATTTTCTGATCTTCTGAAACACTGTCCTTGCCATTTGGAATTACTTGTAGTTAAAAGTTGTTGGGACTGTTGCTGTTCTTGGAGGGCTACTTCAAATTCTTATTCTAATGTCTTTCTGTGGGCTTACCGCTGCAGTATGCCAACAATTCTTTGCTTTGCTTTGTAATTCCAACTGAACTTGTTGCAGTTTGAGCTGTTGATTTATTTGCGCTGAATTATGCTTCCCCAATGAATGAATTCAGTTATGCGGTGCAAATTTATCCGAGGGTGTTTTTGTTGGTTCCTTTTTGTCAATGTCATCTACAGCAGTGGTATGAATAGTAAAGCTTATCTTAGTAAAAGTGCGGGCATTATTCCTTCAGCACTACTTTGTAACAACCAACTTACCCTTTTGCAATCAGGTTTCAAAATTTTTAGTGGAAAGAGGTAGCACAAATTCTCTTCATGGCCAAGTGACAATCGGAACTCTTATATTTCAGGTTTGGCTCTCTGATTGCCGGCTTACTTACAGTATTCCAATATAATATCATTTTATTAAACTGAATTCACATCTTCACTAATCCACGTTGCAAAAAATCTGTCTTCGGTTAAGGTCAGATATCTGATTTTTTTAAATCCATATTATGTGAGAAGTGTACCCAAAATATTTAAGTAAACTGTACATGAATTAAATAGTTACATAAATCATAAAGGGTCCACCTTATCACATTCCTGGTTGATTAAATGCCATGAGAAACGTTCGAGGGAATTGTAGAATATAAGGGGCCTAAATGTTTGCCAAATTATATTTTGTCAAGCAAGAGGTTGACAGTCAGAAAACTTATTGATGATATATATTAGGACCTATGAATTACATTCTTGTCAAAGGAAACCACAATTACCAAAATTGCTGAATTCAGTGTTATATGTATTGATTGATATTTGATACTTTGCAGTGTAAGCTTTTGCAACTTAGGTTTTATCAAGATTTTTATTTTATTTTATTTTCATTTTTTGTAGGATGAAGTTTAGATTATATTAGATATTATTCGGACTGAGTGTAAGTTTTATGTTATGCCAAGTGATCGAATGAAATCCTAGATCTACAACTGTTGGTTAATAAACCCTGGAAGATGGTTGAGCCTTCTTCTTTGGAGGGATTTCCATAACTTTCTATTGTTAGGGTATGAGATTTCCTTAGTTCTTAGAAGGCGCCTGGTGTGGCATCTTGCTGCAATACATAATGGTATGATAGAATTCTATAATTGGCTATGTGAAAAGAGATGTATAAAGATATATGAGCTGATATTATACAATTATTGCTCAGTTCTAACACAAAGGTTTGAGATGTTTGATGATGCCAGATGGATGATGGAGATGATGATAAAAGTTCTTTGTTGGATATTGGGAACGGACTTGGTTTTAGTGAAGACTAGGGGGTACAAATAAGGGTTTATGATGTGAATCTACTAGGAGTTACTTGAGAAATTAAAAAGGAACAATTGATTAAAACTTGCTAATATAAAATTATTGCTTGCAAATAAAGAAGAGTTAGGAATTCAAAATATTCAACTTGCTTAGGCAAAGAAGTGCTCTTGAGATTAACCAAACAATCCAATCAAAATTCAAAGACAATAGTAAATGTTGCATGCACATAACATAATCTACCACTTAATAACGAGAGGTTCACCTTGTGTCCCTTCCCACAAATTCACTCTTAGGCTTTAGCGGAGAGAGACGAACTATACAAGGAAAGAGATTACAACTAGGAAGATGGCGCCGAAGACCTTCGTTGATGGAGAGGTGGAGGAAGAGGGGCTCGTCCAATGAGAAGCCAAGGCGGTCTGGGTTGTTGAATTTCGATCATTTCGGCGAGGTAGTAAAGGATTCAGTTGACATAGCTTTCCACTGAGTCGTCGTACTTCCAATCTGGTTCGTAGAAAGGAGAACGGAGAATGTCGATCTCTTCTTTGGATCGCGGTCGACCTCAGGATCGGCCATACATGCTTGCCTTGAAGGGTGGGAGTAGACAAGTAGGGAAAAGAGGGGAGGATAAGGTAGGGATTGAGGGGAAGGAAGGAGGGAGGGGGGGGGGGGTCGGCAGTTTGGGTGATGGGCAGGCCGGCGGTTTGTGGGAGAAAGGGAGGGATTAGGATGAGGGTTAGGGAATTTTGTTTAAGTGGAAATTAATTTCAGGTTTAAATGGAATTGGAGGGAAATTGGATTTGAAATTAAAATCAAATTCAGGTTGGGTGGCCAAGGGGCTAGGCCGGCGGATGGGGTTTTGGGAGGGGAGTTGGATTGGATCTAAGAGAGGTATTTTGGTTGCGGGATGATGGTGGAAGAATGAAGAGAAGCTGGTGGGTGATAAAGAAGATAGAATAGAAGACGTAGATGAAGACCACAAGCCACGGACTCTTCCGGTGACTGGTGGGTATTGCGCTTGCCCACACATTGGGCTCTCTCTCCCCTCTAGTGCACTCACAAGAAGAAGAAGAAGGAAAAAAAATTCATTTAATCATTCATCCTATTACAATAGATGATGCCTCAATATATAGATCTAAAATAAAACAAAGGAAAATACTCAAATGTCCCTTGAGCTACAACTCACATAAACTCAAGTAAAAAGGGTATAATCGGAACTAGAAAATAAATAATACATAAATGCATCAAAAATAAAGAATGTGGATCGTAGCCGTCGATCTACGATTCCTATGCCGATAAACTTGTCGATAACGTCTGTCGATGTCCTCATCAATTTGGGAAAGTGGAGGAGGTTATTCTCACATGCCACACACGCATAACCTACTTTGTGTTGGGGGTCTTAAACTTGCCCTGTGGTATCAATTACTGTGAGAACCTAAAGTTTTTTTGCTCCTTTAATTCAAACTTTGTTTGGTTAGGAGTCACTAAGTGGAAGTATTTCATTGGCTTATGTCTAGGAGCATGGAAGCTCTTCTTATTTTCTATTTGAGTGGTGAATCTGCGTGTCATAAACTTATTGACTTCAAATCCTGTACTTAGACATCAGCTATTGTCCTGAAAATTTGATATAGTTTACAGATGTTGTATCCTTCTCATGAAACATTTCTTTGAGTTTGAAAGTAATGTGCTCGTTCATGTCCATGCCTTGACCTTGATTATTTTTCAGGATTGTGCTGTGGGATTACTCTTTGCTTTACTAGCTGTTTTGGGTGGTAATAGTGGCCTTCTTGACGCAATTATCTCAATGGCAAAACTGTAAGGGACTTCTAATATGCAAGTTTGTATGTTATATTACTGTTTAGGTGCTCTTCTAAAAAATTGTGATAATATTTGTTTTATTATTAAGAAATCTTTTTTTTTTCTCAATATATTAGTGCGGTATTCTGTATCTTTCTTCGAAGTATAGAAAATATCATATAATTGCATTTCAATTTTCAGTTTTAGTTTTTAATTCTGAACCACGTGCAGGGTGCTTATGTTGTCAATCTTTGTAACCATTGGTTATATTTTGTCACTGTCTCTTCTTCCTCGCTTCTTGAAGCTTATGATTCAGTTATCATCACAGGTATGTACTTGTTGAACACGCAGATATGACGAATTTTAAATTTTATAGAATGTTTGCCTCTTTATTACCGAAGACATTGTGATGTTATTTTACATTCATCTCCAGTTCTTTTTTATATCTGTACTTGTATGTTTGAAATCCTAGAATTTTAGATGTATTTAAGTTATTTTTATGCACTATACCGAGCCATGTGGTGCTTGCTATATCGATGGCTGAGATGGTGTCCTCATAGTCTTCTATATGTCCGCGAGCTTTCTGCTCATCCCTACCTGCATCCTACTATCTTTTAATTTCCATCTACTTCTTCAAACCTTTATGTCCTAAAACTAGGATGATATTTCCCCCTAGTTTTACTATTTGTGTTTTTCATGTACTATTTGGCTTCTTCTTTCAAATGATATTTATTATTATCATGCGGTTTTATGCTGTATAATGTAATGTCCAGGGCCCTTGGCCAAATTTAGCCGTCCAATGACATCCACTAGATACTTCTATTGCTGGTTAATCCATTATCTTTCATCAGTACTCTTCTATTTACATTTTGTAGCTCAGCGATTATTAATTTTTACGTTATTCTTGGTTTATCTTACAACAATATATGTTGAACTATGATCTATCCTCTCCATATTTTTTTTTTAAATACTGTGATAATCATATTTATAAATTCAGTATACAATTAATTGCCTTTTCATTCTTATGCATTCTTTATCTGACTTTTTAAAGTGTTTTTCCCCTAAACTTACAGACCAATGAGCTCTATCAACTAGCCTCTGTGGCTTTTTGCTTGCTAGTAGCATGGGTAAGTGTTTGTCTCAGAATTCATTTTTCTTCCGTCTTTCTAAGAAAGATAAATGATGCATTCATTATCAGTTTTTTTTTTTTTTTTGAATTTTAGGCATTGATTCTCTTTTTAACCGAATTCCCATTCTGTTTATCGTTTCTGAATCATCTTCCATGCAAGACATACAACATTCGATTTATGTCTTTCTTAACATCTGTATTTTTATGAGCTTCATATTAGAAATAAAAAAAACTGTTAAATACACGAAGCTACAAAATTGGTAAAATAAAATATAATAAAAAGAGCATTAGTGAAGTTTAATTATTACTTCACTTTTTGTTGTTGGTCAATGTTTAAATGAATCTTGTACTGTGCTAACTTCATCATTAAATGCTGGTAGAATATTGGAAGCTCAAGCAGCAAGTCATGTGTTTAGTGAACTTAAATCAATTCTACCTTTAATTTTTGAGGTACAGTCCATGCTTCATTAGATTTATGTGGCTTCAATGGGTCACCTAGAATATGTATTATTCTCTTCAGCAACAAACGTAGTCGTTGCTATAGATTTCTCCAGTATTGCGATTCTTTATCTAAGCTTGTGACAATACCCATATTTTTTATTATATTCTATACATTTTAACCTTCAACTTGAGACAAGACAGATTAAAACCTTAGAGATTGTTTGATTGCCTTGGGCTGGGAGTGCAAACCTTGTAAAATCTAGGCTTACCAAACAGCCCAAATTTGGTGCTCTAGGACAACCCTAACTTGATTTTAAGTATGCGTAGTGGGGTGGGGTTCCTATGCTAACTTAGGCTAATGTTGACTTAGTAAAATAATAAATTATGAATAACCTTAAGTAGTTATTTTAATGATGAATTGATAATTTATTTTGTTTGTTGCCTAACATAAATATGGAAAAATATTAATAAATAGGAATTTAATCAAAATGTGATAACTAAGATGGGGTACTTGCGAATATTAATATTTATGAACTGGCAATAAGTGTTCCTAATCACAGTAGAGTATTATATCAAGGATCAGCAAGTCCTTACCATTTTGTTGTGATTAGAAATGGAAAAATATGCTTAGAAAGGGAATTATTATCTAAGTATGTTTGTTCGCATATGACAATTTTAAGTTATGAGATCTCTACTATACTAAGCTGAAAGGTAGAATAGCGGAAAAATTGTTTAGAAGATTAAAATCGTTGGATTAGTTAAATAAAAAATAGTATGATATATAATTTTAATAGTTGTGATATATATATCTATCAACCAACATTACTAGAAGATAATAATATTTCGTTATGTGTTAGGCATCAACAAATATTATTGGATTCTAAAATAGTATAATTAAATTGTGAAGCATGGGCCACAAAAGTGGCAGACCAACCTATAAGCATAAAAGTCTATGAATGAAGAAGGAACAAAAAATATTCCACATTGATACTATAACAAGCAAGGTCGATAAAGTATCTTTTGTCAAATAAAGTACAAACTAAATGGTTTGTTTATTTTTTTATTCTATTTTTAGTTTGATTTAGGTTGACTGGTTCTATATTGTTAAATTGGTCTAACTAAGTACTATTAATGCACCTCCTATTGTAAGAAAATGTTATGAAATTAAAAATTCTGATTTCTCTCTTTTTCTTATTCTTCTCTTATAGTCTACACCCACTCTAAAGGTGCCTACCCTTCTTGGATCTCCAAGAAGCTTATCAATGATGCTCTTGTTGCACTAATCTCAACCAACCGCAAACAATTCTTTCACATATGGTTCTTCAGTTGAGTCGTAAGCAGCAGCCCAAGTTTTCAGCTTCTTTTCTTCAAACAGGTGGCCTACCTGCAGTCAGCCCTTCCGTTTTTATCATTTTCCCCCATTTTCTCACTATTGCCCTACAATTTCTCTCAGCCACCATCAACATCCACAAGAACACCCCACTGGGCGCTTGACTGCCTTCAGATTTCGAACTGCTCCCTTAGCCGCAGCTATATTTTCTCTAGAAGATTCCTTCAGCCAAACCATTCCAGCTGCAAATCTATTCTATCCAACTGGCAGTTCACATCCAGTTTTCTGCTTCTTACGAGATCAGCAGTTCAAAACATGCTATTTAAAGACCAGTCGTCCCACTAGCCATCCATTATTGCTTCCAAGAACTGCCATATGCTTTAGAACATAGCAGTTTTGCAAATTTTTCGTTGGCCAACTACTTTCCTACCGCTCCATCTTTCAAGAATGCATTAGGTTCTCAGTTCCCTTGATTTTCTTTTTGTTTTCACAACTTCAATTACACCCTTCTATTAGTTTTTGTTCTTCTTATTTTTTGTTAGGTTACAGTTATTGATATCAAGTACCGCATCTTGTTCACTCCATCATCCGCGAACATCAAATCAAAATGAAGAACACAGTTTTGATGGAAGCTCTCTAAGTAATGCAAACCAAGCAAGAATTACAATATATTCCAAAATGCTTAATTTTCTTCCATTGACTCATTCCTTCAAATGCAATTATTAGAAGTGTATAAGGGTCGCAGTACTGGCGTCCGAGTGCAGTGTTAAATATGCAAGGGGTCCCACATCATGAGCAAATGTAGGCAAAAAAACCTAATTCGTGAATCTAAAATTATGATAAGAACTTGAAATATAAGTTATATTACAGACAAATTAATGAAATTAATAGATATTATGATTCTTAGGAATATAAATATTCTTTTCATTCAATAAACAAAATGGGTTGGAGAGAAGTTGATACACTAGGGGGCTCACAATCAGGAAGGGGGAGCTATTTAAGAAGGTTCCTAATCCAGAGAGAGCTATTTAGGAATGCTCCTAATCAAGAGGGAGCTGTTTAAGAAGGTTCATAATCAAGGGGAAGCTATTTATGAAGGTTTTTAATCAAAGGATAGTTATTTAGGAAGGTTCCTAATTAAGAGGGAATTGTTTTGGAAGGTTTCTAATCAAGGGGAGTTGTTTAGGAAGATTTCTAATCAATAGGGGAGCTATTTAGGAATGTTTCTAATAAATGGGAAGTTGTTTAGGAAGATTCCTAATCAAGGGAGAGTTGTTTATGAAGGTTTCCTAATTATGCTTATGTTGTTTATTAAGGGTTTAATTGTTTAGGAAAGTTTCTTAATCATGTTTATACTGTTTATGAAGAGTTTAATTATTTAAGAAAGTTTCCTAATTGTGTTTGTGTTGATTATGAATGTTCTATTTGTATGTATTGTATGTTAGAGCTATTTAAGGAGTTTGGTTTAAGGTTTGGATATTATGTTTTGCTGAAGTTTATTTTATGGTTTGTTGTGTGTTTCCTAATGGTATCTAGGGTTTATTTCTAATCATGTTTATACTGTTTTTATGTCCAAGATGCAGCAAAAAACTAAGGAGATTGGTAGTTTATGATTTAAACTATAATATTCTGGTTGGAGTCACATTAAAAATAGTGTAGGTGTGATTATAGATAAGAATTTGAAGGATAATATTGTAAAAATTAATAGAATTAGAGATATAATTATAGCTTTAATGATTATTGTTGATGCTAAAATTATTAATATTATAAGTATTTATGCTCTTCAAGTAAGTTTGCATTTGTGTTTAAAATTAAAATTTTTAAAAGACTTAAAAAAATTAATACAAAAGATACCTCTTAAAGAAAGAGTTTTTATTGGAGGAGATTTAAATAAATATGGTGTTATAGAGGTAAATGATTTAAAATCATTTATGGTGTGTATGAGTTTGGAGCGACTAATGAAGATGGTAAGTCCATATTATATTTTGATATAGCTTATGATTTTATAATTGATAATAATTTATTTAAGAAAAGAGATGAGCATCTCATCACTTATAAGAATGGATATAGAAAAATTCTGATTATTTTCTTATAAAAAAAAATAGATCGTTTAGATTGCAAATTATTCCAAGTAAAAGTTCATGTACCCAATATCATTTATTAGTTTTTAACTTTAAGATGAAGGGACAAAATATAAAAAATAGAGTAAAATATTGTTCTAAGATTAGGTGGACATTTAAAGAATATTTACAAAAATATTTTTGTGAGTAAGATTTTAGATCTTTAAGACCAGTCCAGCTGGTCCATATGGGACCGGCTTACGAGAAATAGGCAGAAGATTCTCTGCCTCCTGTACGTAGGAGCCGATCGCCCAACTCCTCAAGGAGCTGTTTAGGAAGGTTTTTTAAGGGAGTTGGGAGGGAAATTTCAAAGTAGGGGCTGTTTAGGTATTTTCTTTTGAATTGTATGCATTAAATAGTTTGTTTTCCTAACACTTGAAATCTCTGGCATGCTCTAGCAGCATTAGACAGAGCATGCCATGGTTCAAGCTTGATTTTTATTAAATTCTTTGAATGTGTTAGGAAACACTTGAAGATTTCAAGTAAATCCTATCAATCTCAGAAAAACAACAATTCGAAGGGAGAATAAAATTTGATGGCCTGGCCACAAATTACAATGAAGCTTGAGTTTATCAAAAGAGAGTAAGATTTGAAAGGGAGACACATTGTCTTTCCATAATGAATGTGATGCAGGGTAGGCAATGAAATTGTAAATGCAATAAGAAATTAGGGGAGAAAAAGAAGAAAAAATGCTAAACAGTAAAACCTCAAGTTGTAGATTTTGAATCTTCAAAGCATTTGAACTAGCAAGTGCTCAAAATTGTATGTTCTATTTCCTCCTCTTTCCATAATGAATGTGATGCGGGGTAGGCAATGAACTTATAAATTAAGTAGGAAATTAAAAATAAATAAAAAGACACCCTAAAGAGGGAATCCTCAAGTTGTTACGCTGAATTTTCAAAGCATTTTAACTAATAAATGCTCAAAACGGTATAGTCTAATTCCTCAAAGCATAGAATTTTCAGAAACCAAGAATATGGGCCCCAGGAAAATTTATGTAACACTTATAATTAATTTTGTAGAAGAAATTGACTACCATAATAGTTTATTGCATAATAATCTTCATTATTATGAGAAATAATAGGAACAATATATGATTCCTAATTAATCTAAAATGCAATTTCATGAAGAAAATTAGTCTTGTTCATTGACGATTAGATAATGACGCTTTCTAAAGGGTTATAGGTGGCATCTCAGAAGAAGGTCAAAGGAGTAGCAGTCCATAATTGCTACCAATAGAAGCATTGACAACTAAATAGAAACACACCTTGATCTACATAAACTCCTGCTGTGGAAGAAACAACAATTCAGTACTGCAAGCTTGACGGTGTCTCAACTCGGTAACATTTTGCATTAATGGAAGGAAGGTCAATTACATACAAAATTCAAATCTAATGTATTCAAATTAGCTCAAAATAGTGCTAGAAATTGTTCATTTTCAGTCAGATTTAACCTTATTCATAATTCATAAACCAATTACACAGTCTAGTTATCTCACTCAAACAAATAAAAATCCTTGCTAACTCACTCTCAACTTGTTGTCAAGCTATATGAGCTGGAGTTTTCTGAAGCAAGGATCTTTGCCTGAAATTGGATTTACCAATCAATAATAGAAAAATTCTTAACTTATAATGGCAATGATACAACATCTCCGAAGAGTGTCTTTAGGAAGCAGTGTAGCAGATATTCAGAGAAATATTTAAGGTTTCTCATCTTTCTTTTGTCTGCTAAATTTTAGTTAGAAATGTTTTATTCCATTATTTTGAATGCATTTCTTCTTCTCATGTACTGTTTTAATGCCAGATATATCTGTAGTTTATGATAACTTTTCAGCACTTTTTTAAAGAAAAAAAAACATTTTTCATGACAATATTCTGTTGGAATACTTCCATGATGTGTTTCTCATAAATGTGCAAAATATTTTGGTGATGCCACGCTTTTGATTTGTTTGTGATTCATTTTTTTTTATTATTTAGTTCTCTGTTATATGCTGTTATTCTCAGGGCAGTGATAAGCTCGGTATTAGTCTTGAGTTGGGTTCGTTTGTTGCTGGAGTCATGATTTCTACTACTGATTTTGCACAGCATACCTTAGAGCAGGTAATCCTTTAACTATTTATTTTACTATTTGAAAAATTCCTCTTTTCTAAAATGGATGAATATGGTATACTCAATCGAATATATATATATATATATATATATATATTTGTTCTTCAAATTATGGAATGTGGGCCTATGGTTTATATCATTTGTTTATGTGATTTGTGTATTACTTCAATTGTGGTTATGCACATGTGCACGTGGGTGCATGTGTATGTACCTCTCTTTCTCTACATGATTGTTGGACCGTCAATGCTGCCTCTAACTAACTGATGTTAACTAAAGCGGGATTGTATCTTTTATCAGTAACATCTAAGCTCATTATGTTTTTTAATATTGGCTGTATTTTGTTTTGTTTATGCATGATTACCCATTTCATTATTTCTCTTCTTTCTGGTGAACTGGTATCTCATATGCATTTTCTTTTAATTTTGGCTCACTGTGGTTGTTGTGAATTTAAGGTCGAACCAATTCGCAACCTATTTGCAGCTCTTTTCCTTGCTAGCATTGGGATGCTTATACACGTTCAGTTCTTGTGGAACCATGTGGACATACTATTTGCATCGGTCATATTGGTTGTGATAGTTAAGACTATCATAGTAACAGGAGTTATTAGAGCCTTTGGATACAATTTCAGGACATCAATAGCTGTAAGCATCATTGGTTTTGCTTTGCTATTATGAAGCAAATCATCTTGAAACACGAAAAAAATGTTGTCTTTCTTGTTTTATACTGACTTACTTCCAATTTCAGGTGGGTCTTTCGTTGGCACAGATTGGAGAATTTGCATTTATTCTATTGGGCCGAGCCTCACATCTTCATCTTGTTGAGGTTACTTATCTAATTTTTCCTATGGATGGCTATAGTCTGTTTTTAGAATGTTCAATATGCTTTTAATCCTACTTATCTAGATATTTTTCCTGCTATACGTTATGAGAATAATTTAGTTAAAAAAAATTTCTGAAAACTTGTTCTCCGTTTTGATGTTGGGATTGAGTGAAATAAAATTAAAAAAAAAAGGTTGAGAAAGCTCATATCAAGGGATGCAGATTCATATTCAGCCAACAAATTATTGTGATTTCATTTCATTTTTTTGACTTTCCTTCAATGCAAACAAATGTTTGGTAAAAAGTTCAAAAGTTGATGTAGTTTAGATTCTGATATAATTCTTATTACACACTCCCTCCTACCTCTCGAAAAGAAAATCCTTTGCCCTTGAGATTGCATATGAGAAAAGCTGTCAGTAAGGCATTCTTCTTTTTAGAAACTACAGCCTGTACTTGGTCATGAAATCTCTCTATTCTTTTTTTTGTTTGCAGGGGAAAATGTATCTCTTACTTTTGGGGACAACTGCTTTTAGCTTGGTAAGCCTTCTTTTTTGTCCCATTTAATGTTTAGGAGGAACTAAGCGTATCCACAATTCTCACTGTTGAGTTGGCTATTGGTACAGATAACAACTCCTCTGTTGTTCAAAATCATACCTGCTGTTATTCACCTTGGCAGTCTAATGCGCTGGCTTCCTACAGAAAGTATTCAGAGTGAGTCATGTTCGCTTGCTTTTGTTTGATCTTATTTGATAAGCAAAAATGTATTCACTTGTTTTTGTTTGATCTTGTTTGGTGAAGACAAATCTACTTATTGTCTTTGTTATTTAGTTATTTCATTTACTTGGAGGCTATATTGGATCACTTTTTCATTTTTATTTTATTTTTATTTTTTTGTTTTTATTTTTATTTTTTATAAATACTCCCATTGTTAGGTCCCAAGTTCTGGATGAGAAAAATGGAGGGTTGCGTTAGGTAGTCGACAGCCAGCGTAAAATTTGTCGAATAATCATTACATAAATCCTTTAATACATTGTGTTAATGCTAGGTGTTCCTTGGAAGCGACGCACTGTATGACTTGAATACAATAAGAAGAGTGCAAGGGCCGCTGCATCAGCTCTCGGGTGTAGTGTTAACTAGGCATGGATTCCCACATCATGGACGGATGTGGGCAAATAAGCTCGTCCATGAAAGTAGAATTCTGATTGGTTCTTAGAATGTAGTTTTTTCTTACAGACAAATTAATAGAATTAATTAATATTATGATTCATATGAATATAAGTATCTTATGCATTTAGGAAACTAAATTGGTTGCAAAGAAGGCTAAAGAGATTGATAGTTTAGGATTTAAACTTTGGTATTCTGATAGAAGTCGTACTAGAAATGGTGTAGGTATGTTTATAGATAAGAATTTGAAGGACAATGTTATAAAAATTGATAGAGTTGGAGACATAATTATTGCTTTGAAGATTATTGTTGATGCTAAGATTATTAATATTATAAGTGTTTATGCTCCTCATGTAAGTTTGGATATGTGTTTAAAATTAAAATTTTGGAATGATTTAGAAGAATTAATTTGAAAAATTCCTCTTGAAGAAAGAGTTTTTATTGGAGGAGATTTAAATGGATATTGGTAGAGAGGTAGAGGATTTTAAAAGTATTCATGTTGGCTATGAGTTTGGAATGACTAATGAAGGTGGTAAGATTATATTAGATTTTTTATAGGAAATACTTGAGTTCGCAAGTAACCCTAAGGGAAATACTTGAGTTCGCAAGCAAACATATCATTAATTGGAGAAAAATAGCAAGAATGAAACAAATCTGGGTGAAATCAGCCCCCAACAATTGATTGCAATAAGGGAAACAAATGATCTAGAGCAACAATGGAGAGTATCTAGAGGTCAAGTTTTAGTGGTTGGTGGTGCGTTTTGCCTAGGAGGATGTCATTCATAGTTGATGTGTTCAGTACTTTGAAGTATTAATCGGCAAAGACTCGGACTCAAAGTAGTTTTTTCTAAATTTCAAAATGGCTACCAAACTCATGCAGATTCTTCTCTCTTAAGCTACTTCATTCCTACTATGTTAAAACCATCTATAAGAAGTAGAGGACACGATGGCTGCAAGGTACCTATTAGCTCAGAGTTTAACAAAGGTTCTATTGGTTACAAGCTTGTGGTGGCTGTAAGAGTTGATGAGCTCACTAGTTGAGCTCCTAAGGGCAAGGATCCGTAGCAAGCATCTCCTTCGGTTCTAGAGGAGGTGGTCAACAACGAGTTTGCTATTGAGGCCAATTGGAAGGGCATCAAAAGCTTGGTAGCCAATGATCTTGAACAAAATGGAGAGTATCTAGAGGCCAAGTCCTATTGGTTGGTGTTGCTTGTTGCTAAGGACTAAGGAGGATGTCATTCATAGTTGATGTGATAAGTCCCTTGAAGTATTCAATCGGTGAAGACTAGGGCTCAAAGGAGGATGTCATTCATAGTTGATGTGATCAGTCCCTTGAATTATTCAATCGGTGAAGACTAGGGCTCAACTTGGACACGTAGCTCTTCTATAGTGTAGATTCTCTGTAACACCTTTCTTTAGTAAATCAAGTTTTTGTGATCAATGTGGGACATTTGCTGGTAAAGGTTTCTACTAAAAGGAGTTATCACTATGTTGGTTAGTGCTTGAAAAGGTTCTTGCTTTTGGGATGATGGGCATCGTTATTAAAAATCATTTCCAAAGGGTGTTTCCATCTACATGAATCGTAAAAGAAGTTTCCCCTTTAAATTAGATACTTAAAGAAATATTCTCTCATGGATTATGGGAACAGTTATTGAAAGATTAATGTTTTATTGATTATCACCATTTCCTATTTTCCCCTTAACGAACACTAAAGCTAATATTTCAATGGCTTTTCCTTCTCGATGATGGCCATATTTACCATATTAGTTGAAGGGACTAGTAGTTGCTTCTCCCCTTCAAAAGAATTATGATCTCTTTCTCTTTGATTATGGAAATAATCAGAGGGAATAACACCATTATCTCGACTACCCTCAAATCGAAATAGATATGCTTGTGGGATCCACTTTCTTGATGATAGGTGCAACTAAATACAAATCCCAACTTTTATACCTCACACCCAAAACCTAATTTTTCAATCCAAAAACCCCTTTAAACAGTATAGTAAGAACAAAAGCTCCTACAAAATAATGACTGGTTCGTGCAGCTACCCATTCGGCTTCTGCCTAAAGCTTTTTCGTGGGCATCAAATTCAAAGAATGGCGGAAGCTCAGAAAGACGGTAATGTCATATTGTTTCTTTTACGGTAACTTTCAAAATCTTATACTATTAAGCGACAATTCCTTTTGTGTTAGATGATTAAGCTTAAAACCTGTGATTGAACTGTGATAATAGGTACAGAGGGAAGGGCAAACTGTTTGTGAATCAGAGGTTCGTTTGTCACATTTTGAGCATAAATTCCCCTATCAGCTAAAATTGACCACTTTTGCAAGTTTGTTTATCCCTTATCTATGAATTCCCCTTTGAAGAAAAAACATATGGTTATTAGGATGGATCCTCCAGTTGAGAATCAGATAGCCACCATCCTATAGTTATTTAAGATAAGTTATATAACATTCTGAAAAAAGATTGAATAATAGGATTTTTGTTCGATTTTTCCTCATTTCTCACCGTCTCTTTTGAGCATATGATAGTGATGGTCTAGCCAACAAGCAATATAGAAGGTCGAGCTATATAGAAACCATTACACGTTATTTTTGAGGCTCGTGATCAATCATATTTGAGAATTTTTTTTTTTTTATGAGGGTATTTTTTCCACGGCAGCTTAACCCATGAAAAATTCAAACCAACATCTTAAAGTCCTCGAATGGGGGTGATTTTTTTTTTGGGCAGTTCTTTATGTACTACTTAATTCACCTCCTTAAAATATTCCTTCCTCATTTAGTGACTAGGATAGCTTTTTGTATCAATATGGTTGAAAGCGATATTGATTTTTACATATTTCAAACAAATTGGTTTTTCTTTCTTGTGTGCAATTTCAGTTTTGTTGAAATTTTAATCATTTATGTGGATTTCATGATCCTTAGTAGAGGGCCATAAATGTTTCATTTGAATTGATATTTTTTTTTTCAAATTTCAATAAGTTGATAAATATTTGTTTTTGGATTTGAACCTTGCTTTGAAAATTGCATGCTTATTTGCATCTATATTTATATGGCCTGCTAGATCTATTTTATAAATCCTAAATATAAAGACATATCACTCGGTCTTTTCAGTGCTTGAACACTTAAAAGGTTCAGATTTATCTTTTGTCTTCATTATTACACTGCCTGTGGAAAACTGAATCCAACTTTCGTTGTATATCAGGAGAGAACAATCACGAGTGAAATTTGCATAGCGGCTCTATGGTATTAGCCAGACAAACTGTTCAGCCTTCTTCGCTGGTAAGCTCTCTACAGTTACTCTGCACGAGAAATCAACTCATTCAGTTTTCCTCACTCCCAGGTAAAGATTATAGAACGGCTAATATTTATAGGACGTAGTAGTAGTACTGCTAACATCATATGAAAATAATATATAAATGCAAGTAAAGTTTGCTGCGATATTTTGTAAATAATGGAATCAATCATGAAATCCAACTCTAAACATTCAGCAATTAAAATGTTCAGATTCTTATTTTGAACTCAGGATGAAGAAATGAAAAATGTAAAGATTGGTTCTCACTCATTAACGGGTTATTTCGTTGGGAGTAAAACGGTTGCATTTTATTTAAATTGAATTGAATTGAATTGAATTGAATGTACGATTTGGAGGGATTAGAAACAGTGTTAGGTTTATTTTCAGTAAATTTCAAAATCTGTCAAATCGAGAGGCAAATGTGAACTTTCTGCATTTTCTCGTGACTTCTTTCCTGCCAGTAGAGGCCCCCCGGTCAATCACCCACCTCACTTTTTTATTCTCTCAACGATTGATGCAAGCCATCCACATCACATCTTTATTGGCTTATTGCTGAATGCTGAGGGGGCAAAACAAAAGGATTTACTTAGATATAATGTATATTTTTTGCAAAATAGATTTTAGAGTGCAATTTTTTTAAAAAAAATATACATGATTGTATGAAATTTCATTGAAAGAAATGATTTCATGTGAGAAAGATCCAAACAGCTTTCAATATTTAGTTAAGGGGTTGTTTGGTTGCCTGAAAGTGTAAAAGGAATATTGGAGTTGTTTGGTTGATTGCTAAAAGAATATGAGTTTTTTTTTTTTTTTTTGAAGTAAAATGAATGAAAAGGTAGTGGTCGGTGCTCGACAGTGATGACCGGTGATGGAGGTGGCCAACAGTAATTACAATGAGTTTTTAGTGCATTTGGAACCCTTTCAAATCAGAGAAATTTTAAATAAAACCAAAATTAAACCAGATGTCTTTTAAATGCACCAAAATTAAACTCCAATATTTTCAAAACAATACTTTACTTTACATTACCTTTGCAGCAAACAAACAGCTCCTAAAAGAAAAGTGGTTACAGAAATTAAAACGTTGAGACTTATTTAATTTTTTTATCATTTTTTCTTAAGGATGTGGTAGGTAAAGCTGCATAGCATCACTGGATAGTTCAATATATCCATTCATATGAAAATACAAAAAATCGGTGTGGAGCCGTTCATGAGGAAGAGAGAATTTTAGATAGATATCACACAGACCATTTGATGGGTATTTTCTATTGAAAATACCTGCAAAGTGTTATATGCCCATTTGTTTGGAGAAATTATCGCGTGGAATCCGAATGCTTCGTATGCCACATCACTGGATGCAATCCGGGCCCAGTACATCCAATGATGTGGCGCATGATGATTGGAATTCGAATGCATTCGGATTCCGCACAATAATTTCTCATTTTGAGATCGGGTAAACAAAATATCATTTCTGACGTCATGCCTGTTACTCCATTTGGTGTTGAGAAAAATTTCATGTTTTTTTAAGTGATTAACATTTTATAAAAGATAGGCTCGTTTTATCTCAAATTAATGAGAAATTGAGAATAAAAGTATTAAAGAAAATTTTTTTCTTTTATGTTTTACATTTAACGGGAAAAAATGAAAAGAAATAGAAATTAGAGGGCAATGAGAGTTAACAAAATAGTTAAAAAAATAAGCAGCTAAATTTCATTAGCACAAATGATTTTATCCGGTTAGACTGCCAACCTGGTCAAAATTTTTTTTTTTGGGACATTTAGGCCATTTAAGGCAAACTCACACACACAACGCATACACATAGACTCGAATCCTGAACCTCTTAGTTGGAAGCCTAAGCTCTTAACCAATAGGCCAAGGAGAGTTGTGTCCTGGTCAAAATTTGATAAAAAAATTGAAAATAATTTATTGTGGTCAACACCAAACCCCATAAATGGTGGCCAGCGTCAGCCCTCACATTTAATCCAATTAATTCTCAATCTGTTTTTTCTTATGGTGAACGCATGCACATAAATTTTAGGTATAGAATTATGAGAAAATTATAAAGTAATCTACCGTGCATGACCAATAGGTTGGTGCCACCAATTTAATTTTTTATGTGCTATTACTTTTATTACTTTCATATTAGTATTATCACCTACTCATATGGAAATAAATGGAATGGGCAACGACAATAAAAAAAAAACTAAAGTAAAAATAAGATAGTTGGACGTGGACCAGCAAATAAGGTTCCGATTTTCAAATATTATAAATTATACAATAAGATATTTAATAATTGAATAAATTTGTACCCGGTTAGGTTGACAACTTGACATAAATTTTGTTCACAATTGGATCAAATGTCAGGCCGGTCAACACCCCTTACTAAACGGTCAGCTGGTGCCTAACTCCTAAGGCAAAAAATTCCAGGAACAGACCTCAGATTTTATCCAGAAATAAATTATTTCCTATATTTGCACAGCTGGCTTACTATTTCTTTTCTCTTTTTAAATTTGCAAACTTTTATTTGGTCTCGTGAACGTACGTAGGGCTACGTTCGGCCGGCACTAAGATCGCAGGCACAAAACGAGAAATATTAAGCAAATACCGAGCAATACCAATAATAACGAGAAATATCATTATGTGAAGACAAAATACTGAGTAATACCGAGCAATACCGAATAATACCAAAAACTATCTAGTTTTTTCTAGAAAAACATTGTATTTTTTGGTAATACTCAATATTGCTCGGTATTACTCGGTATTGGTCTTCCCAAAGTGGTATTATTCGTTATTATCAAACAATACCTAGCAATACCGACCAAATACCGAGCAAAAATTAAGTAACAATCCTTTGACCGAATGTAAATCTATGTCCGGTCAGAGTACGTAATAAAAGTTCTTTGCAGGAAAAAAGCAAAAAGTTTTTTTTTTTTAATACATAATTAGGAAGGACAAACTTTACAACTTACTTTTGGAGAAAAACTTGCACTTCAGTGGGCTCGATAGGGCAAATAATTTTTTTTTTTTTTTTGGGAAAATCAAATAAATATCAATAATTGTTCTCTAATGAAATCTGCTGGGAGAAAAAAAGGCTGCAGCATTTATTAGGGTTGATATTTGAGATAAAAAATTTTATTTTTTTTTTGCTAATGAAGATTTTGAATTTATTTTTTGTAAAACTTAATTTTTTTTTTTAATTATGAGAATACTGCTGTTAAATTTATTTTTTAAAAAACTTAATTTATTACTTCTAAGTTTAATCAAAATATTAGTTCAAAATACCATTTTCAAGTCATCTCGCGAGCTCATAAGACGAGCCTCAACAAGCTCGAACTAAACGCACGAGAAGGCATATGAGCTTCTGGTCACTTGAACTGCCCTCTGCAATCTGTCGCGAAAAAAAGGTAGAAATAAAAGGCCCTCAAATGGATCTGCCAATATTCCCAAAAAAAATGGATCTGCCAACTAAAGAAAACATAAATAAAGATCAAAAGTAAAAATCAAATCATCAACTTGCCAGATTTCGCCTCGTGATTTGAATCCAGCTAGGCCAGTCTGAGTTGTAGATTTGACGTATCTGTTCGCCGATTTTTGGTTCTTTATGTAAAGGCTACTGAGGAACTCAATTTTTCTTTTATTTTTTAATTTGCGACTATTTATTATAAGAGCAAATAGAAGCTTGGAACTGATTTTTATGCAACTGGGAAAGAGGGGAAACAACAACGAACCATCTTTTATTACAGCAAAAAATGATTTTTTTTTTATACCTTCACAATACAAATCTCAATAGCAATTTTAAACAAAACAAAGATTTGGCAAAAGAATGCTTTTTTTTAAGTTAAAACAAACTTAAAAATGTCTGCTTTCCAGACTCTAGCCAATTTCAGAGTCTACTAACCTTATTACCCATCTCAGGAGTTAGTGGATCTGATAGACTCCAGAAACTGAACAACCTCCCCCATGCTCGGCCTCTTCGTCGGAGCATCTACAGCGCATATAAGCCCCAGATTAAGAACCTGAATAACTTCCTTCTCTGAAAATCTTCTCAGGCTCCTATCAAAGCAATCTGAAGCAGCACCATCATCCAAAGCTCCCTGTACAAAATCACGGAGCAGCACCACCTCTGTAGCTCCAGGGCTTTCCACAGGTTTTCTTCCGGTCACAATCTCCAGAAGAATTATCCCAAAGCTATAAACATCACATTTCTCACTGTATCTTAAGCTCTGTGAAGCCAACTCCGGCGCCACATAACCAACCGCAGTATGAAACTTGGTCAGTTCACGGCTTCCCAGAATCGGCAACATCTTCATCAAGCCATAGTCGCATAGCTTAGCCTCATAAGCTTCACCTAATAAAATGTTGGTAGATTTGATGTTGAGATGCAAAACCTGGGGCTTGCAGTCATGATGGAGATAGGCAAGAGCCCTTGCAGTTCCAAGAGCTATCTCAAACCTCCTTGCCCAGAAAAGCTGACCTCGGCCACCTCTGCTGCTGCTCGAGAAGTTAGAATCATGGAGATGTTGATAGAGGCTTCCATTGGGGACAAACTCAGATAGAATCAGCTGCATTGAGGAGGACCAATAGTATCCTTGAAAAGCCACCAGGTTTGGATGCCTGATAATTCCAAGCCTGCTCATCTCCTGTTCAAATTCTTCCTGGTTTCTGATCTTTCCCAGGGTCTCCAGCTTCTTCACAGCAATGGTGACCCCACCTTCAAAGCTCGCCTTGTACACTGATCCAATAGAGCCGCCGCCGATTAGACAGTCCTTATCAAGTAATGCCTTTGTACCAGCTTCCCAGTCTTCGTATCTCGACGGCAGGCTCTTGCTGAAGAGAACTAGTTTTCCTATGATGACATTAGAGCTAGTGGAAGCTGGAGCTGTGCTCTCTGAAACAAGTATATCTTCTTCTTCCCAACTCTTCTTCTTGTAAGCCATTCTATTCATGGATGTGATCAAACATACTCCTGCAAGTATCAAGGCAGCTGCAACTATGGCAATTATAACAGTAACACTCAGAACTTTTGCTCTCCTGTGTCTGCCACAGACGACGTTAAGTGGAGAACCGCAGAGTAATGGGTTATTAGAGAATGCGGACGAGCCAAATTGCTGGATGGCTGGTGCAGAAGGAATGGCACCACTGAGATTATTGTAGGAGAGATTGAAATGGGTTAGTAGAGTTAAATTGCCAAGGGAATCAGGGATGGATCCGGTAAGCAAGTTCTCAGAGAGGTCAAGAAACTGAAGCCGGATCAACCGGCCGAGGGTGGATGGAATGCTGCCATTGAGCTCATTATGATGCAGATCAAGGTGTTGCAAGAAGGTCAATTTGTAAAGTGTCTCGGGGATTCCTCCTTGCAGTTTGTTTCTTGAAGCATCCCTGCAAAATGAATTGAAAACACCACGATAAAAACTACAAGTAGGTCAAAGATCGAAGCTTTTATTTCTTTCTATTGGTTTGAGTTTATAACGCTCACAGTTCGAGAAGGAACTGGCATTGGCTCAGGGAAAGTGGGATTTCTCCTGAAAGCTGGAGATTGTGCAGGTCTAGAACTTGGATCATCTCCATTTCTCCAAGTTCCGGTGGAATTGTTCCCGTAATGGCATTGCTTCCAAGCCTAAGAACTGAAAGAAACTTGATCGATCCAATCTCGGGCGGAATGCTACCGGTAAGTCCATTAAAGCCTAAATCCAGTAACCTCAGCCCGGTGCAATTAGCAATGCTCGGATCGATTCCTCCGCTTAGATCGTTCCCGGAGACATCAATGTACTTCAACCGATCACTGCAGGAACCGATCTCCGGGATGATTCCTTGGAAGCGATTGAAGGAAGCATTGAAGTAGCTCAGATTTGTGAGAGAAAGAAGATCAAAGGGTGCTGCTCCTGAGAACGAGTTGCTTCCGAGATCGAGGAACTCCAAGCTCCGGCACGATGAGATCTTATCGGCGACTGTCCCTGACAGAGAATTGCTCCCCAGCGCAATGAATGTGATAGCGGGAGGAACGCAGATCTCCGGCGGAAAACCTCCCGTAAGTTCGTTGAAGGAAAAGTTGAAACCGACAAGATTGAAGCAGTTTGCGATGGAAGTCGGAATAGGACCCGATAGGCGGTTATGTGAGAAGGAAACAAACCTCGTCCTGAAGCAGTTCTTAAACAAAGAGCCCGGAATCACACCAGAAAAGGAATTCCCGCCCAGATCCAGGAGACGGAGGGAGGGCATATCACCGAGAGACGCCGGGACCTCTCCGGAGAGCTCATTCCGACTGAGATTAAGCTTCCTTAGGGTTCCAATCCCCCCATACTCCACCGGCACACCGCCGGAGAAACGGTTCCCGAAAAGCGAGAGAATCTGCAGATCAATTAGTCCAGCAATGGACGAAGACAGCGTACCCTCAATCTCAGCCCCGTGGATAAGAATCTTCACCACGAACCCTTCATCCGAGCAAGTGACTCCGGCGAAATCCCTGCACGGATCCCCGCTAACGACCCACGAGGCGAGCGCCCCGCGAGGATCCGCCGTCACATTCCCCTTAAACTGCAACAAAATCTCCTTCTCTCCAACGACATCCGCCGCCGCTTCCCCTAAAATCCTAAACACCAGAAACAGCAATAGAAGAAACTCGAGAACATTCATGGTAAGCTTCCAAATAAGAGAAAGTACCAACGCAGAGCGGTCTCATCGAATTCCTCCAAGCACTTCTCTCCGGCGAGCAATGTCGATCAGAAGGACTCTCCACCTCCACTTGGAAAAACCAATCTGCGTCTCCGAGTACTATGATTCAGCAATTAATTCGACGCCGACCGTACTCCTCTTCTTAAATGCCTTCATTACTCCTCCTCCGAAGCTTCAACTACCGCCAACTGCAGCATCAAGACAAGATTAGGCTATATTCGGACTCTTGCAGCAGAGGAGAGAACAGAAGAAGAGGGAAAAGAAAGCACACGACGCCATGGCCGATGGCCGTGTGGAACTTAACAGCACGCAGTGACGGAGGGGAGGAGGAGGTTATGCTTAATTCACCGTGCTCACTATTCCGCCGCGTGACACGTGGAGGAAATAAGTATGAATTGACACGTGGCGGAAAATAAAGGAGGTCATGCTGTCTGCGGTCAGCGGAGATTCTTGAGGATGAGTTGTTGGAATACAAAGTGTTGACAAGTTTTTTAATATTAAATAATCTAAAATTGTGGTCCAAAAAATGAAATTATTGCTAAGATTCTAATTAATAAACTCTTAAAGTGATTTTTAGTTATGACCTTACTATAGACTATGATGATTATAAAAGATTTTATGGATTTTATCTTAATGCTGTCCCTTGGAATTTATGGTCCTCTCCTAAGCATTGGCTCTGAGTGCTTCAAAATTCTTAGCAAGAATTTTTTTTTTTTAATGGGTTTTGTGACACCGGACCGTCCTGATGTGAATCAGAGTGCGCCATATCACCTGGTACACATCGGGTACACAACTGCAATATACATCAAAGAGGTGATGTGGCGCACTCTGATTCAACATCGAATGGTAATCGTATCCGCACATAATAATTTCACCCAATGAAGGCTCTTTTGCATTAAAAAAAAAATTATACACAAGCATTACTTGAGTCCATTTCACCCATTCCTTTTGTGAATTTATACTCTATATATAGTATCTCATTTTTCTTTTTCATATGAGGGTTTTTTTATTCAAAGTATTACAAATATAAAATAAAAGAAATGCACAAGCATTGATTTTACTAGTTTTGATTTAGACTTTATTTAATAAATTTAAATTCACTTAAATGTAAATAAAATTCACATCTCGTAGCCTAATCTTCCCGCTACCACCACAATTGGCCACCATCAATTCAATTTAAATAAACATAACAAATATTAAAAAATAATTCAATAGATTACGTCACTCATGTTTCTAATCCATATTTTTAACATAGAGATATATTTTCAAGACATAAACTCAATTTCATAGTGCTAAAAAATTTTATGTGCTTGGGGATCAATGAATCTATAGGTCGTGAGGAATTGCTTGTCGAAGTGCTAGAGCTGGGCAAGCCCGAAACCTGGGTCCATGGGCCTGAAGAATAGCGGCCCGTTACTGCTGGGAGTTCCTCACTGGGCCTTTACTTAAATTAAAAATATGAATATTACTTTAATTCAGTACTTACTATCGTACTGGAATAGTAATAATAATAAACAACTCAATTACAAAACCGGCCCAAATATAATAGAGTGATAGTACTCTTCATGAATAGTAAAGCCGAAAATTAAATAAATAACTTTTTTTGCCTTTATATTTATTTTTAGAAAATATATCAAAAACGAATTTATGAATTATCAAGTTAAGTGAAAGAAGCAATATTAAAAAGAAGCAAAAACATTAAAGGAAAACTCCAATTTAATTAATGTTTTCTTAGAACTCACCAACAAAATACTTTGGTGTATTCTATATTTAACTCATTCATCGTTTAAAAAATGCTAAAAAAGAAGTAAATTTAATTAAATAAGATTTTGATTAAAATTTAGATTAGTTTAATTTTTTTAACTTCAATTATAAATTTAATAATATTTGAATTTTTAAATATATACTTAAAATATATTTTAATATATGTAAAAATAATGCAAATTAAAGTTTTTCATAACTTTAATTAACTTAAATCCTAATCAAAATATAGTTAAGTTTCTTTCTTATTTAAAAATATTTTTTTAATATTTAAGTCATAAATAAGTAAAATATAGAAAACACATAATGATTTGATACATTTTAAATAAACACCATATAACTTGGTAAGTTTGCTCCTTTTAAAATTTTCAATAATCCAACTTCTGCTACAGGGATGGCTACAAAGTTTGTTTATATGGCTTCAGGGATGGCTACAAAATTTATTTATATGGCTTGTGCTGTCTTTCGGTCCTCTTATTTTATTTAATCGATTTGCTCCTTTAATTATTGTCATATTCTTTCATGGTTGTCATGGAAAGTGATATAAAAGGCCAAAAAAACGTCACCAGTCACGTCTGCCACGTGGTTTGATGGGAAGGCTTGTTCCGGCAACAATCAGAATATTTACTCTATGATAACGGTAACCATTACTTGTGTCCTTGTTTTTTTTTTTTTTAATAATTTTATAGTAGTCGATTCAACTATATTATTATTTTGAAGGTAATTGATATTATAGTAATTAAGCTAAAGATGGAGAGATTATTCTGTGCGGATGCCGAACGCAATTCATCGTTCAGATATCAACCAAAATGTGTCACATCAGCAATACCGAATAGGAGGTGACATCGCACATTCTGATTGATCTCGAACGGTGTTCGACGTCCCCATAGAATAATTCACCATCTGGGCTCTGCTACAAAGGATTGATTTAACAAACACCCAAAGCACTATTGTTAGTCAGACGGAATCTAGGCAGGCACGGAGCTTTGATTATTAATAAAAAAAGTCTTAAGTTCAAATCTTAAGTATGTGATAGTGTCTCAATTTATCTTAATTGAGAGGCTGATGGCAGGAAGATTTATTTTTTAAAGAAGGATAGCCGTTGAGATGAGAGCCAGTAAGATATGGAATAAATAGCACAAGAAACTAGAATGTTAAAGCTGTCCTCGCCCACTGCTGTAGCAAGTAGAGTACAACAATAGCAATAACATAAACTTGAAAAATTAAAGAAGGTTGTTATAGCACATGCAAGCAGACGTAAGTAAGATAGATGAAGCCATATTCAAAATAAAAAGTAGATAAACAAATGACTGCAATTTGTCAACTACTTTTGTTTAATTGGTACTTAAATTGGTCCAAATGGAATCATTTCATGTGACTCTGATAGTAACCTCCCTCGCCAGGTAAGAAGCCTACAACTAACTCCAAAAAAAATTAAAAAAAATAATAATAAATTGACTCATATCGAAGGCCTTCTCCGTGTCAAGAAAGTGGTTAATCAACAAGTAGGCCTCTTCCTATTCATTTAAATTCCATGGATTCAAACAAAAAAAACAAATAGATATACTCATGTACCTTTCTGTGTTAAATTGGCAACCAAAATGTTGAGGATTGAAAAGGTAGGAAACTCCATTTTCTATCAATGGCGCCAACTCTCCTTCAACGCGCAGGGTGGACTGAAGTTAATCGAGGTGGTTGCAAAGATAGGTTTTCCAGTTCAGGATGGCAACTTTGATGGATTTTGTCCTCAATCTGGAGAGTCTGGAGGGTCCTTTTCGCATATATAGTGATAGCTACAGTAGCAGCTAAGGCAACAGAGAAGCCAAGCACATCATATATAACCTGCTGCAGTGACAGGAAACCGCCACGGTCAGCTGCATCTGCAAGATTCCTCAGCAGCCTCCCACTGTAGTAAAAAGCCATTACAAACAATATATAACATGGGAGGTTAGTTCATCATCACAATCTGTGTATTTCAGGTAAAGATAATTGGTAATAATAATTGATTAATCTGGGTATACAGGAGTTTGTGCAGGAGAAAGACGAAATGATCCATAATGTCGTATTAGTGGTTTCTACGAAGAATCAGATTCCCTCAAAAATCACATACAAAATTAAAATAGAAGAATTAGAAGAAAAAAAAGTTGGTGGATCAGTTATTCTATGAAAACATATTCAGAGTGCATTTAAAGAAGCGCATAAATGTTGAAACAAATAAAGAAAAATGAAGCACATATATGTATTAGAACTTCCCAATTATTTCTTAAAAGGTGGGACAAGAAACAGAGTCCTGCTTATTATTGTCTTCAAATACAACTTCATGTTCTTCAAGAATAATAAATATTAAGAAACGTATTTCATTTTATACTATACCACCAGAAGCCTCCATCCAAATCAAATACTGCCCGAACCAGACCATATCAAGAGACATTTTGTAAGCAGAGCAAGCTTGTATTAAGTGCTACTAAACAGAAGGGTATGTATGATACACAATAAAGGAGAATGGACAGACAATCATAACAGAAAATTGGAGTGAAGCATGGCTGAAGAAGATAAAAACAATTAGAATGAAGGATTTATTAATACCTCAATAAATGAGTTTGCTTTCACTAATGATCCTCTCATAGATCTCACACAGTAAATGAATAATAACTGGCATGATAACCATCCTATAATGTCTTCAAGTGTTGAAGAGGTGGGGTATGCATAAATGAAAACTTAAAACTGTGGAATATGATTTTGTTGCGATTGGAATTCTAGTTCAGCGTCAAAATAGGGTGCCTCAAGTACAAAATTTTGAGGTTCTCTTGAAAAAGGCTATGCTGACCAGTTTAAAACTGAAGATCCACAAGATAACAAGTTAAAGAAAAATGTCTGCCGCCTAAAAACGCTATAAAAACCAATTTAAATGCTTTACATCAATTAGTGCAGTTACCAGATTGATCTAGGAAGCCTTCACTTGCAAAACAAACCAACAATCCCTTAGTAGTTGTCATTCATAACAATTTAAAGAGCTTCCACGGAATAAATTTTACGTTGAAACTAAACATTTCAAACTAGACGTAAATGAGCCAGCATCAAATGTTATATACAATTCATTCTTTGCAATAATCCTCGGTGTAACGGTTCTCACTGCTGTCCAACTAAGCTGCCAGTTTTAGCAAGTTTCAGACTAAATGAATAGAATTCGAAGATGTTGAAGCCTTTCGAACAAATAATTCATCTGAACCAACTTTTGATGAACAAGCCCGATTGCCCATATTTAGAAACTTGAGATTGAGCAAAACCTACACATGGTTAGGACGCTGGTTTTCCAAGTCTACTATATCACAAAGAAAATCAAATCATCCTATGTATTTTTTATTTTACTTCCTCGTTTAAGTGACCACAGAAGAACTTAAACTAGTCCAGACAGATTATGTTTTAACACAATGGCTACCAAGATGTATACAGAGCAACCTAAAAGTAATTAGAAAAGACGAATGGGAAAATGAAAACAAAAACAAAAAGCTAAAGAAAAGTAACAATTTAAGCACGCTCACACTAAAACAAGAAGATTAATACTCCCAAAACGGTTTAAAATCTCACGTCTGATCAAGGATCAAAATACCAAAATAGATAGCAAAGAAGAGAATTCATATCAACAATAAGAATTTTATTCATGTTATAAGATGTCTTACATACTTCCAAATATAAACTTTAAAACATGCAAAACGAATGACAAACTGTTAAAATTTATGAATTTATTAATAGATTACTAACAAGCTACTAGAAAACTAACAAACAAATGGCGTAGACTAAAAATATCTCAAATAAAATAATGACATTAACATTAGATCTAAAAGATATAAAATGTTACTGAGAAAGATTTGAATCCATCGTACAGAAGAAAATAGAAGCCTCAGATTTATCATTTTTCTTTCCTTTAAAAATAAAGGACTCAGTTATTACCTATGATGCACCGACATAGTTGGTACACGTGTCAGACACATCATATTCGTGTTGGATTAAAAATATTTAAATTAAATCGGACACGTGTATCCTAGTATTTAATGATTAAATATTTTTAAATTACAAAATTTTAACATTTCAAATTCCCCTAATCAAATAAAATGCTTGTCATATATCCCATGACCTGTATTCACTCACGTATGGTCTAGGGTTTTTATCCTTGTCTTCTCTGTGTACGCGACCACCCGTCTCCCTTGTCTTCTTCATTTACGCGACCAGGCAAGGCTCTCGTCTCCTTCGTTTATGCGACCATGCAAGCCATTCGAGCGAATAGAGTGACATTCGAGCCATTCGAGAGAAGAGAGTGAAGCCCTGTAAAATACATTTCTTCGACTGTCTTTTTGTACAAGAAGGCGAGTCCAAACAAGCAGTCGAATGCTCGATTTGAAGCCCGATACGTCTGCCTTCTGCTCTCTCGTCATTATCTTCATTTCCGTGCAAGCATTTAATTTTTTTCTTCTTCGCCATTTTTGCAATTACCAAAGGCATCAAACTTCAACGGGTTCCAACTCTTGTGGGAGATAAGGGCTAACATCACATTAGTCATCAGCGGCTTGTGGACAATGGACTTAATCCTTCCCATCTTGGCATTTGGCTGGTTAGCCCTTCTACCACGAATTCCCTCAATAATTTTTTTTTTCATTGATTAACTTTGGAATATGTAATTCCCTGTATCCCTCCATATTTGCAAAATTTTTGCAGTCAATTAAACAAAATCAGATATATAATTAACCTCCATTTTTTCTCCAATTTAACCTATTATAAAATTTTTGCAGTCAATTAGACTATACTATATATTTGAAAAAAAAAATTAATGAATTATTCACACAAAATCAAATATTGCGTGACGAAAAGGATTTTTTTTTAGAAAAAAAGGATGCATGTTGTTGTTATTCACTGAATTGTAATGGAATAAAAACAATTCATAATAAGAAATAGGAATTCATGATATTTTAAGGGGTATTTACATGAAACCTATAATTCATGCAAGATAAAGAAGTTGGAATAGGTTAGATTAGGTATTGAGTTTTAGTTCGTGCAAAAGTGTATTTTTTGCATATGGTTGGATAATGCTAAGACTTTTTTCCTTCCAGTCCATCAGTTTTTTTAAAAGCAAATTAAGCTCTAGCGATGGTGGGATTGTAAGTGGCGAAGGTTCAACAGAACCTTCTGTAGAAAAGCCAATAAGCCCTTATGGAATAATGTTACAAAGTTAAGAAAAATTTTTGAAGGTGGAGAAAATGTGTCATTCAAATGAAATTACTGTGGCGTCACCTACAAAGGATCATTAGAGGATTTTTGTGATAAAGAATCTTTGGTTGATAGATGGAGGATGAATCCAAAGATGTGATAATTGATTCATGGAGTTTCAGCACCGCAACTTCAAATAATAACAAATTAGCAATAAACTTCTTGATCAAGTTTCATCCTCCACTTGTTGTGAGAGAAATTGAAGCACGTATTCATTCATTCAATTGATGAAGAGGAACAAAAATACTCCACAACGGGTTAAAGATTTAGTTTATATGCATACAAATATTTGTCTTCTATCAAAAAAGACCCTACTTTATATGACAAGTGATAACAATATATGGGATTTTGCTGGAGATAGGTTTGATTACCTTGATGATATGGGAATATTAGATATTGCAAATATTTCTCTTGATGAACCTGAGTTGGAAGCAATGATATTCAATGGTGATGATATTGAAGGCCAAAGACAAACCTCTGAAGCTAATCCTAATATTCCCTTTACTGAGTAGTTGAAGCTTGATGTTATACTAAAAATTTTTTTGCTTATATTTTTTGTGGTTGTACTAAACATTTCATACTAAACATTTTTATTTATAAGCTAGACAAGTTATCAAGACATTGATTTATTATTTTTTGTCATTTCTAATATGATGTTACATTAATGTCTATACACTATATAAAAAAATTGCAATGTAAGGTCTGCGCCATACCCATGTCCTATATTTGCAAAAAAAAAAAAGTTGTCCCCCATTTCTGCGTCATGTCATGTCACCGTGTCTGTGTTCGTGCATAATAGGTTATTACTTGGGATGAAAAAAATGCATAAGGAACTGAAGGTAAAAAAAAAGAAGAAAAATTTAATCTTCACGAAACAATGATTTATTTTTACATAGAACAATATTTTTTATTATTTAAGCAACTGTCAATATTATAAAAAGCATGATTTGACGCACTTTTGAAGTGCGGCAATATCAGTGTTTTGCCTATGACGCGCAAGGATATGTAAAGCATGACAACAAGCACACATTTCACAATACTATGAGCGCTAAAGGATAAAAATTTTATCATGCAAAGCGCATTTCATATATTTGGTTGTTTATTGTGGTTGACTCAATAAAACAAACGGTTTGAAGTTTTTAAGAACCTAATGAATTATTTAGTAAAGTTAGAAACATTAATAATAACATTAACAATTAACTAAAGTTTTTATAAATTATTGAATATTTAGTCATGGTCAGCAAGATCAAAAATTAATTTAGAGTAGGCATATTGCTTGAAGAAAATGAATAATCAGTTAATTTAAATAATATAATTTTGAAAGGGCAAATTTAGTGGTTGGGAAGATTCACAAAAGTTGATTTTCAATTTTGATGAAAAAAGTATTCAAATCATTATAAGTAATACTTCATATGTCTGTATTTATATAATCATAGTTCTTCCAATAATTTATATTAAAAATACACGAAAGTCCTGCGACGGGTAGAAGTTCAGCGACGGGAGGAAGCTAAGTGTCGGGTTGAATTCCGATAAAAATCATGTGGGGCAGAAGTTCATTGATCGGAGGAAGTTTGGCATCGGGTAGAAGCCCAATTAAAGTCCAACGACAGGTAGAAGTCCGGCGTCGAGAAAAAAATTCAACTT